ATGTTTTCCCCGACGTTTATATGAACCGACAGTGACATGGGCACTAAAACTTATACACAATGATGAACCAGTTACATCCATGGATAACAGTATATTCACTGACTGGCTATAACACAAGTTTTTCAATTTTTTTTTCCTTTTTATGATGTTCCATTTCAAACTTTATTTGACTTGATACAAAAACAAAAAATACAATGCAGTAAAATGATATAAAATTTATCAGATATAAAAATATCTTGTCTTTAATTAATTGTAGATTGACAATATTTGTTGGGAAAAACTAATTATTATGCAAATAAAAATTATGCAAATTAGATGCATTGTTATGCAAATTGGCCGTGATGCTTGACATGAAGTCTGGGGAGAACACTGAGCTCATAACTCAGACTATTTAAAAATGAATGTTACATTAGTTACAGACTTCATGAGGTCATGTGACTTCCAAGTAAAATAATTCTTTATTGAAGATTCAGATGTATAGTGTGTAGAAATTAAAAGTGATATGAACATTTTTTTTCCTGAAAAATTTAGTATAAAGCATAAACAACATTATAGTCGCAGAAATTTTGCATACCGGTAATTTTTTTATAATTTTTAGATGTCTATTTTTGTGTTTCACCAAAATCAATGTTATCAGGTAGTCAACTCCTCAGAATGCATAATTATAAACAAAAATCATTGTTCTGTCAAGTGCCTGCTGAGTAATACTCATTTGATTGATCATTTTGAGTTAAGCACACATCCCACTCAGTTGAAATTCCATCTATCATAAACAATTAAACGCTTACGTTATTCTTGCCTTTGAAAAGGTTATTTGTAAAACAAAAAAACACAGACCAAACTTTGTTTATATTAATATCTTCCACTGAATGAATTTATAACATAGTTCGTTCTGATTTTAGGTATGCCACCTCCAACGACAAGAGAAAGGCCACCTGGTTGTAGAACTGTGTTTGTTGGTGGACTTCCCCAAAATATAACCGAGGAAATTGTACGAGAAATTTTTGAGCGCTGTGGTGGAATAACAAACATTCGCCTAAGTAAAAAGAATTTCTGTCATATACGATTTGAGAATATGTTTTGCGTGGATGGTGCTATATATCTGTCAGGTGAGTTTATGTCAATTTACATTCTTGCTTGAAGCTTTTAACTACAGTGACCCCTCGGTAAGTCGCGCCTCGGTAAGTCGCGATTCGGCTAAGTCACGGGTACTTGGATGGCTCCCAAAATTTCTATTGTGTTTTGACAGCAGTTTTGAAGTACAAAGACTAATGTTTCGTGGCATAGTGTTTTTAACTAACCGTTAAAGAGACAACTTAACACCTACTGTCCGTCAATTGCTGAGCAGTGTTCTCCCCAAAGCGTTTTAGCGTAGCGGGGCCGCTACTCCATTGTTTATGCCGCTACTCTGAGAGATTGCCCGCTACTCTGTGGCATTTCCTGTTACTCTTTGTTTTAGCTTGTTAATACACGTGCGAATCTGTTAGTCAGCGTCATCAGCGTCCGGTACTGTGAGCCAAATCAGGTGTGAATGGAAACATGTCAGTGATTACGCAAAGACAATGGACTAATACAGCTTCGTACTTTCGACAATAAACACTTTCGCCCTATATTGGGGTAATAGC